CCAACCCCCTGCTCCAGCAGGGACACCCAGACCACAGGGCGGCATCTAGGTGGGTTTGGAAGACCTCCAGAGAAGGAGACTCCACAACCTCCCTGGGCAGCCTGTTCCAGGGCTCTGTCACCCTCACAGAAAAGTTCTTCCTTGAAACTTATTTCCTTACTTTCACATCTATATTGACATGGACATTGACAGACAAGACAAGCCTTAAAAGAAATAATTCCTTATGTTTATTTTCCACAGAAAAAGCTTTACAACAGGTTTTACTAGAGAAAGATTACATTCTTTAATAATTGTTTATTTGCTGAATTGATATTAAAGGCTGCAACTTCTTCTACAGTGTATTTCTTTTCATAGTATTACAGGACATTTACCTTTTAAATAAAAGAACTTTAATCCCTGCAAGTTGTTAAGAATTATATTAGCTAATGCCTTATGTGAACAGTTTACGCAGTTTGTATCAGCTGTAGATGAAGTGTCTTCAGTTTAATTCTTTGCACATTCTGCAGCAGCAAATAAAACACCTTTTATATATTCATATTTTTAAAAGGCTTTGCATAACATGTAATGAAAAGAGAGGTTTAATATCTCAAACAGCAACAAAAATATTCCAATATCCACAATGACACACTTGCGTTCTCAAGAAAGAAAAACAAAAGAAAAACCCCTTTTCCCCATAAACAACATAGAGTATTTATTAAGGTGTTATGTGCTAAAATGTGACTTTATGCATGTGGTAAACTGCTGGGATTTTTACACATCCCTGCATCAGAACCTAAATGAAGACACAGGGTTTTACATAGTGAGAGAACCTGACTCTTCATAGCCACCTATTTGCACAACCCTTGGCCATTTACATCATCTTGTTGTTCTGCAGAACAGGAAAGCAAAACAAAACAAAACTAAAATCAACTTCTCATCCCCAAAACACTAAGGTAACACAATCCTCACCCTTTCAGATCAATGGAAGTTTCATCCTTCATTTCACTGGCATCAGAATTTCAGCAAGATATTTGCAATATCCCTGCCAGATGTGTTTTGAAGTGGGCATAATATGTAATAACAGTCTCAGAAGCAGGTTCATAAAACTGAGAAAAATGATTTACAAAAAAATACTTCATAAGAGTAGACTGAACAGAAAACACTTCTCTTTCTACTTCATTCAAAAATGTAATGAGGAGCAGAAACCTTTCACAGTTTCTGAATTAATAAAGATATTTTTAAAATTCCACATTTACAAACCATGAAGGTCAGACAAATACTCCAAAGAATATTCCAGCAGTTCTGTAATGACAAGCACTCAAATATTTTTAAGTAAGGCACTGATAATTCCTTCAGTTATCATGATATAATGAAAATGTGGTATTTTGGTTTGAGGCCCAAAAGATTATTTCTTATTAACCCTGGAGAGCCAGGATTCTATGCACAGTTTCACAGCGACCTCATTTTTCTTTATTAGTGCCCTTATAAAATGAAATAGATCCATTACAGGTTTTAATGGATGTACAATGATTTACATGGGAAAAAATTCTTTCATTAATACTCCTTTTTAAGTGATATTGCATAAATTGGAAGTTAAACATTTAAATGTACAAAACATTTACTAGTTCTGTTCCTCCACATTTACTATCAACTCCAAATTTTTTAATTTGGACGTCAATCATCTGATACAGACAACGCTCAAGACAGATCAATGAAATGGGTAGTTGTAAAGCAGGTATTTCAGTAGTTCAAAAGCAGGTATTTCACTTTGAACAAATGGTTGAAGAACAAGCTCCTATTTTTAAAAACATTAACGTAAAATCACATTGGGAATAATTATCTTGTTTACTACCATGTCTGCCAACTTCATAAATCAGACAGGTTGAGTTTCTAAATATTTACTCAAAAAGGAAAATATTGTTCTTCTGAGGCATGCAGAGTACAAATCATTAAAATCCATTAAATTAAGATAGACTTAAGAACAGATTCTTACAAGCAGCATTTCCTTAAATTTTTCAGTGCTGCAAACAAACTAGGCAAGATTTGAAAAATACTTCTATTTTTTTTTAATTAGTCCTGGGGCTGCAATTGGTATGCTTGAAAGCAGTGAGTAAAGAAGAGGTACAGCAGATAATCATAACAGTAATTATTGCTGCACAGAGAGCCCCCAATTACATCCAAGACTTCTACACAACACAACCCAAACTGCAATACAAATATATCAACCCCCAGTAATAATTAAGGAAAATCTGCATTATGAAACAAGCTAATCTTTCCAATCACCTAACATCGAAGTATTTTCTGTGACATCAATATTTCCTGAAAATGAGAGCCATCAAAATCCCTAGCAACCCCGTGACCAAGAGGACAAAATAAGCCTGGAAACTGGATACTCAACAAGAGGTGATTCCACGCACGATAGTACAGAAACAATAACACATAGGAACAGGTAGTCCTGAGGGAGGACAGTGGTCAAGTTGGTTATGTGAACATAACTGAATGTATAAATATGAGTATAAATACTTTGTCTATATTTATGATGTGTAGAATACAAAGACAGACGTGCTGCAATAATTCAACATAATCATGTCCCACTTTTGCAATGACTGTAAAAGTTACAACCCGTAACTAACTGTCAGAATCCTTCCAGCTTTCTAGCTGGAGAAAAACACACTCAATTAATCCCTAGAAAAAATAATTCAATGAAAATAATCAAACTTCACTTAAAACACCTAAATTTTGCTAACATATTAGTTATTTTAACTGATTATATGAACAATTCTGCTGGCAGAATTGAGTGGAGACCTGTTAGAACATCTGCTACGTGCTATGTAAGAAAGAAGACTTCATTTTTTAAGGAATTATATATATATTATTTGCTGAAACACACAGTTTATGCACATGCTTGTGTGGGAGCCCAGCTGCAATGTATCTCTGAGGTAAGTGTTAATGAGTAACAGTGATCTTTAAATGTTAAGAATAAGATTATAATAACTTAGTGGACAACAGCAGAGATATTTGCAAGATCTTTCCAGCTAAAAACTCATAATGCTACAAAGTCTAACAAGTGCTTCATCTGTTTAATAAATCTTGTTAGGACCCCAAAATTTAAGAGCGTTTGCAACTGCACAGTCAAGTACATATCTATATTTACTTAAATAGTCAATAACTAAATGAACTGAATGACTTACCCCTGAAAAAGAACAAAAGTCTGAAATCAAACTATATATAAAAAAAGCTATTATTTCCCTCTTTGAAAGAGCATTATTTTTTTCCAATTAAAAAAATCATATTATAATTAAATACAATTCCTAAAAAGTTCTCTTCTGGTACTTTTTATGCATTCCTTCAAAAAGAGAATCCGTTCTAGCAAAGTAAACATTAGCCCTAGAAACTGCAAATGCCCCTGAACTTGTTTCCATCATACACTGGAGCCACGACTACACATTCACTATATTTTCCTACTGTTTGATATTTTAAGGCCTGCACATATGTAAAACCTACAGAAGTGAGCAGAAAGACATGATTTCATGAGGCCTTAAATACCTTACCTTACTGTAAGGTCTGGGAGTGCTGGGCCATAGCAGCCTGGGCCCTACCAAGGTTTTTATAGCAGGAAACACTGAGGAACTAAATTATGATACAAACAGTTAGCAGCTATCAGTACATCTGATCTTTCTGTGTTGTGACACTGCAGTAGCACTGTCCAATTTTGTGAATTCTACTTGGAGGATCCTTTCTGGTCCTTAACTGAGACTGCTGCAGCTTGTGTCAGCTCTTCTGTTTGGTTATGCTCATGGCACCTGCTGCTTTAGTGCAGGAACATCTTGTAAACCCTGAAGGAAGCAGTGGGAGCGTAACCCTTTTCATCAAACGAAGACAGCACACTGAGAATCAGCTACTCGACAGCCTACAAAGGAGAAGGATCAAGCACCCTTCCCGTGCGAAGCACTGAGATGAGCCAGGGATGGAAAACTCTCTCATGCTCTAAAGAGATCATCGCCTACAGGGATGTAGGACTTACCACAGGATGCAGCACGGAAAACATTTTGGGACTGTGTTTTGGGATGTGTTAATGGGCCTGAGGACAAGTTCAAACCTACTATGGGATGTTTCAAGGAAAATCAAAGGTAGGGAGAGGGAAGGATCAAGGGGGGATTGAACATAGAGCTTTTCTCCATAAATAAAAGGTGCTGTGTCTTCTTGAGATGGAATCTCATCTTCTGCCTTTGTTTTCTGCTATTTTTAGCATAAAGACATTATAGCAGCGAGGAACATCTTCAGACTTGGCTGAAAGTGAAGCTGTACCAAGGATATAATATCTTTACAAAGCTCATTTGAAAAAGATGTGCTTTGAGGGAAATAGAGAATAGTCATTAAATTTAATGAAAAAGCTTTTAGTGCTGGGCTAGCATCACCAATTTGTTTACAATTTCTACCTCCCCTAGAGTAATATATGATTCAGTTCATTCTGCAAGATGTGAAAATTTAAAAGAGAAAGAAAAAAATGGTCCAAACGCATATATTCCTGCCCTTCACTAGTTAAGCAAAAACTGTTTTCCTTGGAACACAATTATTAAAATTTGACTAAATATTTAAAGGTCCTTTATAGTGTGATCTTGGACTTCAGCTAGATGTTTATTCAACAGTTTTCCTATTGTCTATTCACCTTCTCTCCCAGGAAAGTTACAGTGGTTCCGAGTGTGCATATACAGTAACTGCAAGTTGTGACTTGAAAAATAAAACAGCTGTGACCCTTAAGCACACCTTTATACAGGTTTTCTATCCAAATGTGCATACCTACAATACTATATTTAAATATTACATATTATATTTAAATAAAAGTTAGGCATACAATTTTTCCCTCTCTTCAGTAATACGTTAGAAAGTGCCACTAAGGCAACAGGCATCTTGATGTTAATCGGTTTTTTGAATGTAGGAAGTTAAATGGGTAAGATTTGATTACCTTGTCCAAATGAAACAGGTTAATATAAAATAACTGTAGTTATTTATAACAAATCCATCAGCCAACTGACATACTCAAGACAACAGCAACAGTTCAATTAGTTTGAACTCCTGAAACTAGTGTTTTTATTTTTTTCCCCCCTAGTAACCAATAGAAAATGTAAGAGCTAGTTGGAAGCTAATCTAAAGCTTGCTGGCTACCATTCAAAGTTAAACAAAATGTATTTAAGAAAGAAGGAGTTGCACTAAAATGTAACAAAATGGTAAATGCACTGATCAGTTTCTTTGCTTTCATCTTTCAAACAGCATTTACAAACTGAACAGATCAGCAAAGCTTTCTTGTTCCTCAAAAGATGTGATCTGAAAGGCTAAATTAGAAAAGCTGCTTAAAAAAACACAAGAAAAATAATAGTTTGGGCCTTGCCTTGTTGACAGGTGAGATAGTTATCATTTCTGGTAGCACAGAACCCGCAGACTGGCTGGCATTTCAATGGAAGGAAAAAACACAAGCCTGTATGGTTTCCTTAAAACAAAAGCCTCTTGACTTCATGATCAACATTTCAATCAGCTTTTGAGTAGGAAAGAGCAACAACCAATCATACTGCGGATTTCCTGACAGATGCCAGGAAAAATGGCATGTTTTTTATAAGCAGCTATTTAATTCTTTCACTACTGTGCTTCACGAGGTGTGTAAAAGTTTATCTTCAAAATTAGGACAAACTCATCTTCTTAGAACTGGTTCTTGTGATATAAGCACAGAGCCCAATCCAAGTATCACTAAAGGCCACTGGAAGTCCTACTGATTCATGTACAAAATCTGCACACATTGCAGTACTCCTGTTATATCCTATGGAAAACTGATAGGATTTTACTTACACAAGATCTAAACAGCAAAGGCAGTTTTGGAATGCAGTTTTAAAGGCTGTTAAGTAAAGCTTAGAATAACAGTTTACTAGCAAAAGCTCAGATCCCACAAACAGGAATGTGAATGCAAATGTAATCCATCAATAAACACATGTTCTGGTTCAGAGGCCACTGTAACAAATGACTTGGAAGGCTTTGAATTAGATTTCAAGAGTATGATACCATTCATCATCAAAGTGTTTGCAAGACAGGAGTCTTGAAATAGGTCTTTATATAGAAGCTACAGAACTGGAGGGAAAAGTGATTCTCCTGCTTGAAATGGCTGATGTTTAATTTTTGTAGTTTAGATATTCAATCATTATCTACAATTTTCTATAAAATGCAAACGGGTATATAACACAGAAACTCTGACTTTTTTTATATACACATTAGAGAGGCACATTCTTTGTTAGAAAACAGTATGAAATGCTTCTGTAGGAACTTAAAAATTTCCTTTCACAGATTATATTTTCATGAAATTGTTTTTGATATAAGGCAGTCATATTTAGCTAGTTAAGTAAAACACAGTTTGCATAAAATTAGAGCTGCACCTAGTTTAAGGTATGTTTTCAGTACATGTGTTATAAATGCCAACACTGAAAAATAAAAACCATAACTTTTAAAACCTGGAAGAAGAAAGCACTGGTTGTGACATTCTGTTAAAAGTTAAGGGCATGAAAGGAATTTCTAACTGCTAGTCCAAAAGGATCTAGCTGTTTTACAGTGTGCACAGTGCAAAGACCTTATTACAGACCTCACAAAGCAATACTGCTTCTTCCAAAAGAGCACTCGGAATTGGTTGCTCATTGCTCAGAATGGCAAACATCCAGCATATTCACAACCAGCAACAAAATCTACACTGTTACTATATTATCATTGCTACAGCATGACAAGAACTGAGGTGATGATCCTAAATTTTCATGTTAAATTGTGAAAAACTCCACTTTATCAACTATGTTATTTCTTAACTTCTTCATAAGCTGTAGGAAAATGAGCAGCAGAGAAGTCATCTACTTGTGCTTTCTCTTACAGAAACACTGGACACTAAAATAAAGTATGAAATGAGCTTTGGGTTGTTTAGTTAAAACGTGTATGTCAGTTCAACTTGAGTCAAGCTACCTTGGTTTGTATTAGCTATCTGCAAAGGCTGACTGAACGAGATTCCTTTCATCATACAGGCACTGCTCTCTTTGCTGCAATAATAGAGGCACGCGATGATAGCCAGGGTTGCTTCAGCTGAGAGACAGCTACTGGGGAGCTGAAAGGGAATGCGAGTTTGACAGGAAACATCCTTAATTCCTCCAGACACACTCTGTCCTGAAAGCAACCATGTATTATCTGTAAAAGAAAAAAAAATATATAGGTTTTATCATTAGGACATTCAACAACGTCTCTAAAACCTATAGAAAGCATTAATTTCATTTACCAGACAACGTGGGTTTTGAAATTCTATTTTTTTCCAGTCAGTCAGAGAGAAAAAGGAAAAGCAATCTATAAATGTTTCTTTGGTATTCATTTAAAGGTGGAAGGATCCGTAGCTTTGCTTTAAGAAGTACACCTCAGCTAAACGCAATGCATCTACAATTTGTTCTACAAGCTCTAAAAAGAAGATTAAAGTTTATTCTGTGATAGCTAAGCATAAATTCTGCAATATGTAAGTATAAATTCTCCTTAAATTAATGGGCTGTTACAGATTTGTATCAAAGGCCTATTACTCAAGGCAAGGTGACTGCCATAAACGTACAGAAATGCAGGTACTTCAGAACAATTCAAAAACAAATGTTGGCTTCAGAAGTGTGTTGCTCTAACTTAGTAATGTTCAGTCTGATTCAATGAGACCTGAGTTTCACATTTATTTAAATATTTAAGAGGACATGAGCTAAAAAATGAATTGTACAATAAATGCACCAAACTCACTGCATTGCACTCTGTATTTTGCCATAAGTGAGATGGATGAAGTGCTCTTTTTGGCATTTTTCAGCAAATAACTACAAGTTGGCTCTAGAATATGAGAGCCTGAAATGGCTTGTTGAATTTCAGTTGCTCACATTCTGCAGTTTTACTAACCCTTGAAACTATGACTTATCTCCTCACTTCAACAACATCTGGAGATTTTTTCTTTGCCAAAAAGTACACTGATGCTCCTGGAAAGAGTCTATTTGTTCTCTGAGGACACAATGGCATGAAAATTTCCTCAAACCACAAGGTGTACAAATAAACTGTAGTGCTCTAGATTACTTTTGGATTTTTAAAAATAACCCATCTAACTGAGCTACTATATGGATATAAAGATTCTTCAAAAGCTGGCCAACACATGGCTAGTGAAGAGACAGAAGTTTAGCTTTGTAACTGTTTAGCTGTATCTGCATGCACTGATGACTATTAACAGCATAAATAGTTTGGAACAGAGAGCAGATCTTTGAAATAGTGTTTTCCAATGCAGTCCTACAAATGAGTGAAAGCAGTTTAAATACGTGTGTTTTCTCTACAAAAACTAAGGTGCAAATGAGGCTTTTTCTTAATTTTATTTTTAAACTGTTTAGCAGCTCTAAACAGTCATTTTTCTATTGCTCTGCATCAACTTAGTGGGTAGCTTTTTCAGTCCCTCCTAGAAGTAACAGCTCTGTCCACAGTATCACGTACTTGTAGGAAACCTAGAGACTAACAGCAAATACGTTCATAATGTTTAGATTTTTTACTCAGCATCTGCATGCTAAGTGCCTTCCCTTCATCCCCAGAAACACTACTACATGGCAGGCACACAGGGCACAGTACTGGATACCTTTTAGCTGCACTGACCTTCTAGTGAGATGAAAAATTTATTCCTAGAGTGTAAACGTGTTAAAGCAAATGAATCAATAAAAAGGAAAAACTGTTTCACACAAAGCATCTGAAAAACATGTGGGTTATTTTATATATATTGGCTCTCACACGGTACTTTGGAGGGCACTGAGAGACGTTCCCTTCTGGGTACAGCTGGAACACTGGAAAACACTGTCTCCAAACACTCATTAATGGTCACTCTGCCCAAGAAGGAGCTTCAGATAACCTTGCTATTTTTGTACTGAAGGAAATTTTAGGGAATGCTCACATGTTCCATTCCGCCAGTTATGCTATGGGCACAGTAATCTCCAGTGGAAGAATGGCAGTGATGGATGGAATTAGACCACTCCAGTCACAGGCCATAAGAACATGTTCTCCGTGTTCTTTTCAAATTCTTAAGAGCTGAGATACTGATTAATTTAGGTTCACAACACTGCTGTGACATGGGATATTATTATTCTCACTTTACGGTAATCAAGACCAGACATTTTTGATTTTTTGACATTAAAAAATACCTCTGATATAAGAACATTTGTCTTGGTACAGAAATATTCAAGTTGAAATATGCAACTATGAACAAGCAGGTTCAGAGTAGTTAGATGAAAATACATCTATCCACTTAGAAGAGTGGAGAAAAAAACAAACGCAATAGATAAATAAATAAATAAGTAAATAAATAAAGAGCCTTCTTTAGGACGATTAATGGTCCTTACATTAATCGGACAGGTTAATGGACAGGTTAATGGTCAGCTTTCCTCTAAAAATAGACACTAGATCTGGGATAATCTTTTCTAGCCAGAGAGGAGAAGTGGACGACCTAACAACCAAAACACCCGACTCCTCCAGGAGCAGCATCTTTGCCAGCCCCCACGGGCAGTCTGTCCCAAGCAATCCTGAAAAAGCCAGTGTAGCATGTGTTCATTCAGGCAAAACCAGCCACTATCAATTACTCCTTAATCTTCCCAACTGTTAAATATAGCAACTTTAAATATTCTCTAAATATAAGACACCTGTAGGCCTGTAAGGTACATTTTAAGTCCATGAGATAAAGATCCCTTGTGTTACAGGCATGCCATGATATGATACACTTCATATTTTATCTGTTCTTGTTCAACTGCTGTGGACAACACAAACAACTTACCTTCTGCTGTGATGAACCAGGAATTTGGTGCTTCTTCATTCAGTTTTGTATCTGGAGGAAGGGTCAACTTTAACAGAAATTGAATTCTCTGGCCGGGAGTTACAGTCAGTGAAGGAAGTTGAATGTTTGGTGAAGATTTAGGCAGTTTTGGAAGGTTTGCTCTTTTATCACTTTGTACAGAATGATGATCTGGAATATCATATGCTCCTGGGTTCAGGATAGGCAACTATCAGCAGAAATAAAACAAAATATTTTTTCTATTTGTGCTGTAGAGCACAATACAATCACAAATTCAGTGCTGACATGGACTAGGAAAACCGATGCAAGTCAAAACAGAATGTAACACTACTGCTGTGCTGACAGAAAGGACAGTACAGATTTTTAAAAGGTTGAAAATGCATAAATTTGATATGTGACTATATGAAAGAGAAAAATAATATTCACTATTGAAATTACAAAGTCTACCTCTTAAGAGTTTCCACTAGTTACACTATACTTAAATTTAAAATGTTAACAGTTTTATTATATTTTTAGTTTAATGAACGTCACAAGTATGTTCTCTGTATCTGGTATTATCTGCACCCCCAGGTAATAAAATATAAGATCCTAACCATGAGATTACACAGCAAAACAAAGGATTATTTCTCAGGATGTTATACGAAAATTTAAACCTAGACAAACATACTTTGTCCTTTCTGTCCTACCTGCATGAAAATGGTAGGATAGAGTCATTATAAAATGGACAAGAATTCAAAGCTGTTTTGCTCTCATCTGGTATAAGTCAAGACAGCAGTGCTTAACTCTGAAAACAGCTTTAATTCGATAGCTTGAAAGCTCAAGAGAAATTTTGCATTGCATATATTAACAGTTAGACACTATTTAAAAGTAAGCTTCAAAAGTTAAGCACTGTAATAGTAAAAATAAGACTTTATGGTACCAAAATTTTAAAAGATTTGGAAGATTTCTGATTTAGAAATTCATTTTTTTTTCAACTCACAAGGGTTGAAAAACAGTGAGAGCATTTCTCCTCTCTCAAAAGTAACCATATTAAATAGCCTAAGGATATTAAGGATATTGCTCTCCAGTTCACTGTTGCAAACTATATTTGTGTTATTTGTTTTATCTTAATAATCCACTGGATATAATTAAATAGACATCCAGGTGAAGAATTAGAAATAACAATGTCAACAGATATAAGATAAAGTAAAAATAACGTGCAAAAAGAAACACAAAATATTGCAAGGTGATCTAGACAGAAACACAAGGCATGAGGAGCCAGGTGCTTTGCATTCACTGGGCAGCAGGGCACATCACACAGTAGTAAATGCAGAATAGCTGAAATCTGGCATAAATGAGACCCTGAAGAAAACTCAATTATAACTTCATAATTTGAAGTGTCCTGAAGATAACTTGATTATCTACATATCACGCCTCAAGGATGGGCTCTCAAAATCATCTTCTACAGTTTAACTACATGATACGGTAACTGATTTCAATTTCTACTCATTCTAAAGAGCAAAGGCTCATGAGATCCTGTTCATAGTATAAAACAGTGCAGTTGTTTTTTAAGACAGTTCATATTTCTGTATTCTTTTATAGAGTCCCATCACTTCGTTTCTAAGCAAAAGCAGCCTTTCCCAAGGCTAAGTCTTACAACAAAGGCACTAACAAGCAATGTTTGTTTGCCAAAACATGTCTTGCCACAAAATATTTGTGAATATAAAAATTATACCAAAAAATCTCTAGCTGTCTGACTTTTATATACCATTTACCAAAGCCTGTAATAATAATTTATAGCAAGAAACACCAGTATTAGCATGCTTAATAAACACTACTTGCCGTGGAAAGAATTTTTGCTTCCAAATCCAGCACTTTAATCTGATGGTTATTTGTGTCTGCAACGTACATCCAGCGGCCACTTTCCTCAACACACAAACCTCCTGGTTCATTAAAAGTTGCCTCTGTGAAGCTGGAAGCAGTAGCATTGGTTGCTTCTCCTGTGCCTGCCAGGGTGGCGCAGTTCTTCATTTTGGGATCTACAACCTTAATCTAAGATAAAGAAACAAACAAATCAATCTGAGGAAAAAAGCTACCAGTATTGAAAGCTTCTATATTATGCCCAACACTTTCAGAAGCCAGCATTAACGTTGAGTACCTTAGCTAACAAGTGTCTATCCTTGAAAATATGTGGTTGGCTAGGATATCATCCTTTAACAAAAAATACCTCCATTATTTCTCCTCGATTTCCCTGATGGACTTTACTGGTCACTATTTAGTGTTCTCTTTTCATTTCTACACTACCCACCCCTGTGCTCTGCAGTGTGTCAACTGGTATGTTTATCTTACATTGCATCCTTTCTGGAAATGTGTGCAAAACGGTTGAAGCATTAAAAAAATTGGTAGGGTATATATTTTACCCTTCAAATGAAAATAAAACTTTTTTCCTTAATGCATTTAATCAAGGTAAATGTTAACAAACTGGTAGACATAAAAGCTTCACATCACATGAGAAGAATCACACAACACAACCTTCCCTAACTCTGAATGACTTCTTACATAAGAGCAACTCTCAATATTTCTTCTCAAAAACTACACGGCCTTTTTAAGGAAATCTAAAAGCAAGTCCTTTTGGACTACAAGTTTTAGCAAATCTGCAGTATCAAACTGGCCATCACAGGTGTACAACAGGTGATAAGAAAAAAAAGAGGTCAAGAGAAAGACCCTCAAGGGAAGGAACAGAAGGGAACCCACAAAAGAAGTAATATAATTTGTTTCTTCATCTCCTTCAAATACAATTTTCCCGTGTTCCTAAAATTATCTCTCATAGTTCTAAGAGCTGTAAAATGGTGTGCTATAGGCTCCTACATGCTTACCTTATGATTATAGGAATCAGCCACATACAGCAGTTTTCTTTTCTTGTCCCATGTTATTCCTAGGGGATGCTGCAACTTTACATTTATGCCTGCTCCATCCACATCACCAAAGGCAAACAAATTCTAAAGAAGTATGTGATTAAATTAAAATTTGATCATTCAGTGCTGACAAACTTAAACGATTACAATTAAATGGAAATAACTGACTAAAAGCAAAACAAGACAACTTCAAAACAAGGATACTGAGAACTGGGAACTATGGACACTGACCATAGAAATCGAGATGAGGACAGTTGGGTTATTAATATAAATACAGCTGACTTTACAAAAGAGGCAATGCCAGCTGTAGTTGGCTGTTTTATAAGTGAATCCCTGGAGGTACAACCTGCACTACAGCTGAGCACCACGACTGCCACACACTGGCATTCCAAGCAGCAAAGTGAAGCAATGAATGGCCATGGAAACTCATTTACCCTCTCACCCCAAAAGTGGCTCTTCCAGGTCAGGCTCGAGGAATATTAGTAGGGCAGTGTGGGGAAGGTTGCAGTGATTACCAGTGGGTCTCTCTCTCCTCCTACAAGGTGCTTCACGGCTCCGTCTTTCAGAGAGACTGTTCGCACGGTGCTGCTCTCGCTGTCGGCTACAAAAAGGCAATTCCAGGGATCCTCAGAAGCCAGGGAGAGCCCTGAAGGCTGCGCAAATCCAGCCTTGTGCGGGTACGCGTTGTTTCTGTTCTCCTCATTTCCACTCCCAGCAAATCGAATGCAGACTCCTTTCTTTAGATCACTGAAGGAAAACGGCATCCACGTTCACAAATAAGTATGAAACACTGCAGATATTATGTATAAACTGAAGCTACAGGAAAAGTACGTGAGCCATGAACAACTGTACTGTCGCACAATGAATTATCTGAATTTCCTCTGTGCTTTTATCCCATCATTCATCATTATTATTATTCATCATTCATTCATCATTGGAGAATTCAGCATAAGCAATGAAAAGCAACATCCAGTTATATGAATGTAGTTTACCAAGTCATGGGTTTATAGCAAAAGCAGCATGTTCCTTTTCATCTAACTTATGTAGGGAAAGGAACCCCAAACAGACAGACTTCAAGTGCAGAAGCCTTTTAAGCCTGAAGAGAATCAGCAAACTTCAAGCTAAGTACAGGCTGAGGAAAATTACTTTGAGTTTAATGTGTTTATCTCTCTTTGGGGTTTGAAGGCTATTTATCAAACAAACAGCAACTCCTTATGTCTCTCATTAAAACTGCTTACCTTCCCTTTGGTAGTTTTCCATCTTCTAACATTAGCGCCCAGATCTGATGAGTGCCTGCCATGGCTATCCATAAAACATCATCTTCCTGGGAACCTGAAACTTTTTTTTTTAAAAAAGGCATATAAAAACAGGAGGAAAAAAAAATCCTTTATGCATCTTTTAAAAAAACAAGAAGTCAACAAGCCAGCCCTGACCTTCCCCACCTCGCCACGTCCTCTGCCATGGGACACGCTGCCTTTATTCCTCTGCTCTCTCCTGCTCTCTTTCCACAATTACAGAATATTTCTCTGGTATCTCTAGCAAAGACAATACCTCAAATGAAATTTGCTGCTTGCATGATTTTGCTGTTGAGTTCATGTTTCACCTGTTATTTTTGGATTTATACTGGCTAGCAAATATACCTGTGCCTGGTAAGCATGTGTGTGTGTGTGTGTGCGTGTGTGTACACATATACACAAACACACACGCACACACACACACATATATATATATATAAAAAAACTATATTAGCAACAAAGTTTGATATTCCAAACAATTATTGGCAATTGTTTCCAGGGTTTGTGAGAAATAACAATATCAGTATCTTTCAGATCATATGCTCATTTTAATTACAGATCTTTTACCTGGCAAATTCACACGTTCTATTATCCTAGTAATCCCACTGAAGTCAGCGGTAACACTAATGGTAGTTTAGACAGGGTAATTGTCTTCAAGATAACAGCAACTAGTGCTTCAATGTCAGGTAGATTTATGCTGTGGAGAATAACAATTGCTGTGTATTCAAAGGTTAGGTGTGATGTGTGCAAGCACCAACTTCCCTCTAAGCAGTGATTCTCTCTCCATGTGCATTTGTACATGTAGTACCACAAATGCAAGAGGCAGATCTTGAAACAGGCACCTGATCAAAAAGTGTTCAAATGTGTATCTGTTCTTTTTCAACTCAAAGTATAAAACCAATCCAAACTTATAGACAGAACTTGACCAGACAGTATTTCCCAGATAAAATGATAGAAATAAAAACAGAAGACATCACTGTTCTATAGCTTAAAACAGATTATATTGCAGCGTAACAAAGAATGCAGGAAAACAAATAGTGAAAAGTTATAAAAAAAGAACAGAATAAATTTACTTAGCTTTTTTTCTGAAAAATTAAGAACCAAAAAATGACATTTAAAACAGGTACACGTTTATGCATACATATTTAAATGACATTTCAAACATGTACGCGTTATCTTCCTAACACTATATACATGATACAGAACTGTCCCATCTAGTCAAAAACAAAATTAATATATTTTCTAAATCAGTAACAGATACAGAAATAACTTTAGCCAGTCAAATTAAAATTGTCTTCCAAATGCTCACAGAAACTTTTTATTCACACAATCTTCTAAAATAGCGCTTCCCATAGCACTGTTCCTTGCAGCAGACTGCAGTCCCTCTTAAATCTCTTCAGCGGTTTCAGAATGTAAGTAATTTCATGTAAAATGCTTGCAAACATATTAAACCTTAAAAATCAATCAAGTTTGATCAAATCAATCTGCCTAAAATAAGATTATTATCATTCCTCAAATTGAGATCCTTGCATCTTCTGCTTTCCAAGCATTCTTACAACATGCATTAGAATAAAAAAAAAAAAAAAGTGTCCTTCTACCTACAGAAACAGTTGCCCCCCACTTCAGCCTTCTTAAGAGTAGTATTAATATGATTTCCATGTAGTTTATCTTCAGCCTTTCCTTTTTCCGGAATCAAGATACCAGTTTCCAAGTTTCTGATCTAGAAGATCTCAGTTGAATCTCTCCTACATCTCCACATGCTTCGTGGTTTTTTTTGCAAGTCCCAAAATAAAAGCTAAACTTCCCTAGCTTTTAATGAGTGGAAAGGTTCACAAAATGATCTGGAAAACAAATATTCTACAACTCGCCAGAGATGCTAAGAAAGTTCTAGGAATACCAAAAAGAAAAAAAAAATCTGAAAAACCCCAAACCACAGAAGAATCTTTGATTAGAATTTGTTTCTAAGAGACTTAATGAAGAAAACAGGCTAGGTAATCATCTGACTACCTCCTATAGAGCACGTGTTCAACTCCCGGGATTTTATGTTTCTGTGCTGCATAGTTTGCATTATTCGGAGGCTGCTATTCAAAGTACTGCATAACGAGCACTGTTAAAAACACTGGTTAATTCAGAAAGTGGGCTTTTTTATCTTACATTTATGCTATCCAGTTCATTCTGAAGGCTCTCAAAGCACTTAATTATTTAATATCCACTAATGAAATGGAGCACTGAGAACAGAGATGAGCACTTCAGAAAATCTCTTGCATAGATCAGATTTTGTAGCTCATAGGCAGATGCAGAAACATTTAGAGACACCTTACTCCAGTAATACCCACTGAAAGGCTTCTCAAGCACAAAATACAAGAAAAAAAGTATCAATATTGTTTTTAAATTTTACTGAATATGTAAGACCAATGGAGTGAAGATTCTTTCCTCAGCTAGATAACAAGACAGGAAAAATAGAGAGACTTGTAACTTAAAAATTTTAATGGAAGTATTTTCTTCTGGGTAGCAAGTGGAACAAAGGGAATGGATACAAGCCTGGAAACATTATGCGTACCCTGAATTGCAAAAAATACGTCAGAGCTTTAACCAGAAAATTATACAAAATGAAGAAGTAAAAACAATGTCTGTGGTTGCGTATTTTATCACATGATGGTCCTGACAATACAGAATTTCATGTTTAACGTTCTAAAGTAGAAGATAGAAAACATTCTTTGAGGGGAAAACAGTTTGGGGATGTGTCACCAGTGTCACCATTCTACTGTCCTCATAGGAGGAGGAGGGACAGCAAGAGCAAATATGCTAAAAGTTATGATACTGCTACCAACTGCTCCTTATCATCCTTGAATGGAAAGAATTTATTTTTAAAAGAATTTATTACAAAGCAACATAAAAGAACAAAGTAATTCTTTTACATTTATTCAATTAAGCACCACATTCCAAGCTATCTCCAGCTGTTTTTAAATCCAGTGTGGTTTCTCCTTATTAGGATATGTACTTTCTTATCTTTAGGGCTGTCGGTATCAAAGCAAAGTATGGCTTGTAAATGTGATACACTTAAGTTAAAAAGATTCCCTAATACTGCAGGAAAGCACCGAATGCTCCGTGGTTCCATATGGCAGCACCACGCTGCACTTCCGCGCTTGCCACGTTCCTGAATCCGCCTCTGCTACGGATCCAAGCTTTCAACGACCTGCAGTCCTGGCACACACATATTCCATTTTAAATGTGTCCCTAGCAATGCTGACCTTTCTAAGACCCTCATTGGAGGCCAATTTATGTATTTAGAGCAGCTCAAAGTTTGAGCTGTAAAGAAATACGATGCGAGATTAATCCCAGATGATCTCCAAAGCAGCTCTTATTTTCAGCTATTACCAGAGGAGATCCCTTTCACAAAGCAATGAAGATTAGAGCATCAGTGCCAGGAGGAAACAAGGCTAGGAGGAAAGAGACATAAAGAAAGACATATAGAAACATGGAGAAAATCCTACATACTTTTGCTTTTTAAGGGTTATAAAGTTTGTACCATCAAGATAGCTACCATGTTTTCATTTAAATAGTGTCTATGTTAGATCTATTTTAGATTTATTTTCAATCTTTGAAGGACAAATTTTCAACTTGTCTTTTGAGAACACGGTCAATACTGTACTTGCGAATTTCAATGAATAGCTAGGCAAACCAAGACAAGGTTTTGGGCGATTTTGGAATCTAAACCACACAGTTATGTCACCACGCACAGGTCATCGTTCTGTTCCTTCCAGCAAGAATGCAGCTATCAGGAACATTTCACACTTAGATCAACTGTGCATTTAAGCATCACTTGCTTTCAACACCCACTGAATAAAAATAGAACAGGACAACAGAAAGCTTTAAAAAAAAAAAGTCCAAATACCTCAACAGATAATAACTTATTAATGCATTTTCAAACCTTATATTTGCATTTCCTATACAATTTATAGCAATTCAAATTTCAAGATCAATTTCAACAAAGCCAGAATACAATCCAAGCAGTTTACTCAAGAATTTTTAAAGGAGGGCAAAACAAAACTAAAGCAACTCAAAATATGACAAAGAAGAATATTGTCCGTCTGAATCCTACCCCGTGTTTTGTCTCCATTAATTCCCCTACCTTAAAGGGAGACAATTGAGTCAACTTTCTTTCAAATGGTATTTCACAGTCACTTAACCTCTTCGCCTTAGTCTTCAACATCTCTACCAAATGAGGAAACAAAGCCCACTATCTCATGTAAATACTATGAGGCTTGGTTAAAAGTATGCTGAGATACTTGCTAATATCTGTTCTAAGAATGACCCCTCAATAACATTTTTCTGAATACAGTTATCTTGCAAATGTATACAAAGCAAATTCAAATTACAAAACTGCCAACTAATGGATACATTTGGTTTTGATAAAGATGTTTTCATACCCTTTCAGGTCTTGGTTTTGTTTGTCTGATATCTGCAAACTTTATCCTTATGAATTCATGGAAATAATTCTAATGTGAGCAGACTAAAGATCAGACACTATAGTGGTCAACTTTGTAAGAAATGGAGAAATCTGATTCTTAATATACTTGGAGCCAAACTAATGCAAAAAAAATGTCATTCACTCAAAATGACAAGTTATTTATTTTCTGTTGATGATAATAAAATAACCTGCCTGAGTGTTCAAGACAGATGCCAGGAAAAAATTTGAAGACTTCCACAGGTTTTGGACCAGGCCTCATATTTTCTGGAATCTAACAAATAAACTGTGTATTTAATTCATATCTTTGAAACCAACCATGTCAGAACAATATTGACTTGTGAATATAGTGTCCTAAGATTAGCAAGGACACCTCTTGTTTCTTTAAAAAGCACCATTTATACTGTAATTTAAGCTCATTTCATTGCACAATTCATAAATTAAAATAAACATATGCAAAAATGTAAGTTTTTTAATTGATCAATACGTAGTTTAAATTGTATTAAAAGGAGTAATGTTTTAAGAAATATAGTTGACATGAAAAAGAAGTTTATCTTTTAAGAGGTTACCTTTCCCTTTGAGATTCTGAAAGGCATCAGGATAAGCTGTTTAATACTATAATTATCTCGCACAGCACATGAAGAGCTTAAACAATTAAGCTTTTCTTCTTCTGCCTTTTATGTTCTGGATTGCACAGCTCTGAGCATTAAAAGAAAGCTCATGGAAACATCATTTGCTTAAGAGTAAAAAAAAAAACAAATGAAAAACCTCAATGTATGTATTTCTAAGGAAAATGCAAATGAATCTATTTTATTTCCTGCATTCCATGCCAGATGACACAATGGATGATGGAATAATGAACCTTAACCTTCTGAAGTGTATGTAACCTCCTTAACCTTGCACAGAGCTGTACATAAGTATATGTAAATATGCCATGTGGGCATCACTGAGTGAACAAAAACATAAGTAACTTCTGAAAACAGATCAGTTCCTTCATCCATCCAAATTCATTCATAGACATTGGTGTATTAAAAAGTAGTATGTTATCAACGACAGCAGATGCACTCGTGGTGGGACAGCAGCACACCAAGAATCACCACCAAAAGGCTGGTCTCTGCCCAGGCACAGATCTCTCTGTGCTTGGCCTTGACTTCTTACAGAGCTTCCTCCTCCTCCTGCTCATCTGCTCAATGATGAACGAGTGCAACGACTTACCAGAGGGCAAGAGACGAGCCCACCAGGCTCCAGCAATCTGCAGCAGCAACAGGGCTTTGACAAACTCTCCTGCACTGGTGATGAGCTATTTTGATATTCTGTGACTCACGATATCAATGTTCTAAAGTAAATGCATTGCAGGCTGTGACACACAGTCTTGGTTCTCATGCACATGCTCGCCGTGTTTGCACTGTATCTTTTTCTTTCCCCCTCAGGTCATTACAATTTTCTAAATACTCCAAAGCATTTCTAATATAAAGATTGCAGACGTTATCTACAATTGCTAAGCTCTTCCTCATTCTTTCATCTGTAAATTCAAGAAAACCCCATGCAAGCAGTCAAGTTTTATACCAAAAATGCTGGCTCCAGAATTTTATGCCATATTTAAACATTGCTTGCTCAATGTTAAGAAATTCTGCAGTTCCAACTTTTAAATTATACTGAAATGAAAACTAAACAAGAAAGCAGAATTTTAACTCTCAGCTAATAACAGTAAACAGCATCAAAACTATGTGATGTCAAACTCAGGTATGTTTTAGGTATATCAGAAAAGGAAAAGCTTAATAGCTCCTTGGAAGATGCCACTTGCATCTTTCTCATTAGCAAAAGATTTCATTTTTACCCCTGATGTTTGCAGGGTTTTTCCTGAGATACTCCTCTGCTATGAGTCTAAATCTACTATGACCTTCAGTCTAATGATTTCATGTCACCTGAAGAGTAATAAATATAGATCACAAACTGCAATATTTACAAATGGTCAGATGTGTCTGTAGAGCGAAAAAAGGAACTTTTAGACAATGTTCACTTCCCATAAAATGGCATAAAGCACTAACACAGCAGCAGCAGTTACTGCTTCCTTTTCTAGTCAGAAACTTGCTATAAAATACTACCTTTGTCTTATATAGAAATCCACATTTTTTCAAGACTCAAAACAGAAACTTGATTTCAGCTGATAACTTGCTCTTACATTTTTGCTGAAAAAACACTGTTTCTTAAACTCATTTGTACATTAAAATAAAACTTTTTTTTTTTCCCCCTGCAATTCAGGTTACCACAAAAGGAAAACATACAGCAACATTCATTCATGTGCGATGTAAATAAAAAGAAGTTAAAATCCCAAATGTTACAATACCTGAATTTCCAAAGACCACATCCCATGGGGAGCTGATGGGCTGTTGTTCTCCTTTTGCTCCACCTTCCTTGTCAACACCTTGGATCCCAACACCTGCTACAGTGCTCACCAGCTCTGATTCTAGGTCAATCTATATGAAACAAAATTATATAAATTGAGAGTATTATAGAAGCTAAGTCAATACAGATAATCTGAGTTAAATGTCAAAAACAGGATTTTTTGCTTACAGAAAGAAACTAAATCTCAAAAAAAATCAGACATTTGTTTACACAGGAAACAAACAAACAAAAAAAAAACCCAAAACAAAATAAAAAAAAGAGAGAGGGCAAAAAAACCCCTCATGCATTTCTCTTCCTGATATGTCAAGGTTAGGTTGAACTTTTGGAAAAAAGTATAAATATTTTCTAGAGAGGAGTTCAGGTGGACAACAGATGTTCATGTCTCATTTTAAAGCAGTTTTGTTGGAATATACTGTAAAATTCCTAGTAAGTCTCATTACTTTATTAAGACAATTACACAAAAATGTAGTCTTGCCTGCCTAGCATCTTCTAACTTTTGCAGCAGTAAATGCCTGCCTTTTACACAGGCTGTTTTGCATGAGCAGTTCATAAGTAGTTGAAAGCATGAACCTGGAGCTGCTACATTACCTGTATTTTTTAATCCTGGGATCTCCTATGTTTAGAAACCATGAAAAATGCTGAAGCAGTATGACTCAAATCTTCAGCCGTCCCGTTCAGCACTATCTTTGTTACCCAAACCATTTAATTATCTGTGGTCTCCAGGCTACAATGATGAATAATTAGCAAGATGAGAACACTGGAGCAATTTTTTTCTTTTTTTGTAATAACGCTCCCTTATCAATAAGGGCCACCTTGGTCTCCTTCCAAAAAAAAACTTGGGAGCAAACTAGAATGTAAACAACAGGGAGAATTTGTAGACTAGTGCTTTGGAGTAAGATACAAAATTAGCTAATATAAGAGTACAAATATACCCCAAATAAGTAACTACCTCCTAAATATTTTCTCTGATAATGCATTAGAAACCCAAATATTGGTTAGAATCTATGTATAAGATGTTCTGTACAAGCATAAAATACTTTTATTAGTAAGGTAATAGTTTATCGCTTCAGCAGATTTAACTTCTAATTATTCTAAATTTCATGTAATCAAATTTAAGATCCAACTACAATTCATTGCAGTGTGCTGAAACTTTGTGTTTAATCTAAAACACTCTCATGTAGACAATTCTCAAATTAAACCAGCTCCCTGCCTTTAAAGACACTGACAGCTAAGTAACAAAGGAGCAGAAATCTCTGCACCTCAAGAGATCAGTACCTTTAGGTAAGAATCTGACCCTTTGGAAGTGAAATAAAAATAATTTGCTTCCAATACTAAGAAAAGATGTTTCTCAAAAGAGGAAAGCAAGAAACACTAAAGAAAAATCAAATATTCTAACATAGCAGGGTTTGTTGTTTAAGTAGTGCATATCATCTCCAACTGAAAGGATGTATAAATATATATGTAGTCCTTTAAAGAAAAAGATGTACTACAGTTTTTACTTATATTAGGCCAAGCTTACTTTGGAATTATTCAGAATACTTAGGAATTATTTGTGAAATAATTACCTGGGTGTAAATTCTCATCTGTGTAGGTGGGAGAAAGTGTAAAAGATCAAATTTTCATACTGTCAGATCGGAAAATTACCTTTCTAATTAGATGATTTTCTGTATCAGCTACATAAATCACGTTATTTTTTATAGCAATTCCTTGAGGTGAGTTGAAAGCTGCCTCTGAAAATCTTCCATCTCTTCTTCCGCTGTTCGGTCCTATGAAAAAGAGCAAACTCAAAAATCATTTTTGAAAGAAGAACTTAAAAATAATCAAAGTGCATATATTTAAATCTGTAAGTTAATTACATATGCTAAAATATGATTTTATAGGGGCTGGTATAGTATAAGTTATTAGTATTTGGTGTAGTCTCATTTTAGTCACCGTGTTTTGTGACAATGATAATAATCAGGGTTACTATGTTTCTCACTCTAAGTCCCCTGTATCTTCGGCTTCGTTCTCTAAAAACAGATCTTAATAAGGGTCTACATTGTTCCTTCTTCATAAGGAAACAACGGCAACAAGAGAAAACAAAATGAAAAGTTGATTTTTTACTCCTGATTGCCTCAAGCGAGTCAGCAGCGAAGATTAAATTCCAAAACTCAGTTTCATTTCAATGATATAATTTTTGGTGTATGTTTCAAATGAAAAAACTCAGCAGTGTTTTCTGATGAATAATAATCAGCAAAAAAGATGACAGGAAACTAATTATGTGACAGAAGAGTGAGAATAATGGAGTGACAGTCTTCTGCACAGTATAATCAAGAAAGATAAAAGGCCATATTTTAGAGTGGGAAACATTTTAAATAAATTAGTAGTAGGTGTCAGCAGAAGTAGACATGTTACTTGTAAAAGGTTTATAATAAAAGTAAATTTGAAATATTTTACTTTACTTTGATAACTTGTTTACATATTACACTTGAATTTTGATAGGAAACCAGATGGAGATTTTGCAGAGGGATGCTTCTTTTTAAAAAAAAAAAAAAAAAAAAAAAAAAAAAAAAAAAAAAAAAAAAAAAAAAAAAAAAACCCACAACATTTTTTTTCTATTAAGGGAGGCATTATCGTGTCTTTTCCCTGCAGGCCACTGGCACAAATGTGCCTAAGTCCACGTGCAGCTCTTACATAACGCTACAGAACATGTCATTTGTGTCTCATGTTGGACATGGCATAAAAAAATACTAAACTTAGGCAAAAAAAGCAAATAAAAAAAAATCAGAAAACTCAGCCAGTTGCATCACCTCAATATCCACTACAAGTTATTTTAGACATTTTTTCCTACCAGTATACATAAATGGATAAAAGCTCTGAGAAAAAGAGTCTTCATAAGAAAAGCTCTAAGAAAAGACCAGACCAGTAACCCCAGAGAATATACTCCATTTATAAAATAAACTTATTATAAGTTTACCTCCAATAGTGTGTAGAATTTGACCATTTTTTTGGGTAACCAAAATCCTGTGATGTCCAGTGTCTGCTATTACTAATCTTTCTCCTGAATTATCTACAGTTACTTTGCCAGGAAATAGCAAGGGAGAGGGTGGGAGGGAGTCTCTGTACAGCTTGATTCCAATTCTGTTATCCTTGATTTGTCCTCTCTCTTTGTAAAACTTCAGAGTTACGGAAATAAATAAAAACAACTTCTCTTTGTGTCCCTCTCCAACAAGGGAAAAGAGGATGTTTCCCCGAGGCCCAAGAATGACGAGGGTTGGCCAGCAGGACACTTCTAGTTCATGCCAAAGGGTCGCATCTGCATCGTTGACTACTGGGTGGGCAATGTTATATCTCAGAACTGCACTTTTGATGTTATCCAGAACTCTTTCATTTGGGAACTTTGCTGAATGGACCCCAACAATCACAAGACCATCTGAAAGGAAAAGTAAAATTTTGCACTGAATTATATTTGTATTTGAAGATAATTTAAAAAATAGTAAACTTTAAGTACAGTTATCTCACAACATGACTTACTGCATTCCAGAAAGAAAGATGATTTGAACAAGTAATAAATTATTACATCTCAATAGGAATATAGCTATGTATACAAAATACTGAAACTCGGAAATAAATCATCAGTAAAACTACTGAGCTTGAGTACCATTACTTCCCCAGCTGGCTGACATTTAATATGGCAGTAATTGTTTTTAATTCATGAATCTCATAAAAAGGCAGAAATTGCTTTCAAAATAACAAGTAAGCTGAATAGTTCACCTGCTACTTTAATTTTTCAAGTGTTTACCATACCTCTTTGTCTTTTACTTCCCCAACACAATTATCCTTTGTTTTTAGAAAAGGAATTATTTTCCACTATTAACTAGGAGTCACAAATGTAACACTCAACTCTAGAAGTCTACAATTATCCTGGAATTTCTAACTCTAGAGAAATAGTGGAAAAAAACATATAGGCTTCTAAAATCAATACTGTATCCTATATTTCAACTAAACTAACAGCACTGAAAACTATGACAAATAGTAATTTTGAGAAAGCAGGCTTAAAACCTCTTTTTATAAAAGAAAGGATAAATATGGGTTTTTGACCCTCCTTTTCACATGTTTAAATTAATTACTATACTTGTCCTATAAAGCCAATAAAGAGTTTATTTTTTCCACAATAAGGATGACTTCATTTGAGATCCTAATATAAAAAATGCTACATAAGAATCACAATTATGTTACATACATTGCGTATATACCACCAACCCTAATATCCATTAAAAGTACAAAAGGAAGCAATCAACTTCTCTGAATTGCTTATTTTTCAGTTTCATGAAAAGAGACACAGAGATACAAGTCTATGGCTCAGATTTTAGCTATTTTTGTGTGATAAAAGCAAATCAACTCACTTATAGCACATGTAGGCATTGTGAAGGTAGCCCCTAATTTTCCATTCCCCCTACCACAACCCAACAGAAAGTGAATGAAGACTCTTTTTCAATCAAGTCACTTTTCAATATTCTTTAGGAGCAAAACAAAGACTACACACTCTTTTAGATTTTTAAATTATATTTTACTAACAAAGTCTCTACCAAATGATGCAAGCAATGTACATAACATCAATATTATACATCATCTCACTTCATAGGTGAAGAATATTACAAAGCATAACCTCCTTATAGCCTGTAAGTAACCTGGAAGCCTGTGGAGTAACCAGTGAATTCTGTGATGACTACTTTAAACTAAGTACAGCTAAGTGGACTACATTGCAGAACAGCCATTTACACCGAGTTGGTTGCTCACAGCCATCAGGACAGAATGAAATATTTAAGATTTCTCCACCTCATGAAAGCACTACCACCCCGAACCACTCTACTGGTGCTTCTAGTGCCTACATGGCACTTTTAAAAGTTTTGAAGCTTAAGTGAATTATTTAATACAAACTAACTTCATAGCACCGCATACAATTAAGATTACACACACACAAAAAAAGTCCACAGAGAAATGTAGCTGTTCTCTTTTTAAGTGTATTATACAATACAAAGCCAAGGCATAAAAACTCCCTTGTTCCTAAAAGGGACTCAGTGTTCCAAGACACAATACGATTGCCTGACACCTATTCGGGGAGAAAAAATCTTCTGCTGTAAAGCACACTGCACTGCCAGCATTTGATGAATTATCTCTGCAATAATGGAGCACTGCCAGAGTCATTATTGTTTTGGCAACTAAATTCATATTTTATTTGTAAGTGATCTACTTTGTCGGTTCTGTGGCAGAAGTGTAAGAAAGGTGGTTACTTCAGGTCTTAAATAGTTGTATTATTTGAGCTTGGGGGACTTTCTTCTAAAAGACAAGTTTGATCCCAGTTTTTATTTTCTCTTGGTTACAGAGAAATGGAAAATTATTTTTCTCTTCTAGCCTCTTTCCTCAGCCATAACACAGTAACAATGGAGAAGTGTAACATCTGCAGGAATGGCCATATTTCAATGTTACAACAGGAAAGAAGAAATTCGCAAAGCAGGAACGCAACAAAACTTAGCTGAAGAGAACAGGTTGAAGGATTACAAAATCACCGTAACTGACACAGTCTTTGTTAATCCCACAAGCACAGCATGTTGCAACATCAGATAGTTAAAGCTGTAATATCATAAACTGTTGAATTCCAACAGCGTGTCAAACATTTCCAGTGTACTAGTGTCAGCAGCAGCCCTTACACTTGTCCTTCTGAAGTATCAGCAAAGCTACAACAACCCTGTACTCGACACCTGTACAGCACAAATAGGATAAAACATTCTGTGAAGAAACCTCCTGGGGGAACTCTCAAATGCTACTGTGGGCTGCAGGAAGATGCACACCATTTGAAACATTATTTGAAGGATTATGCCAGAGCGTAACACTGGATGTCTTCCAAGCTATTTCTGACTATATAAAAGTACTCCCTCTTATAGAAGTCATTTCTGGACTGCTGATAACATGAACTGAATATGCACCAGGGTTTAAAATAACTTTCTGAATGCCACTAGGAAAACAGAAATAGCACCACTGAAGATAGCGGCAAGAGCATATCAGATAAAGATGCTAAGCAGCCATTTAATTCTATGGAAAGTATCTTTGAGACAAATCTACTGAAGCTCCAGATACTAAGAATATGTGCACATGCACAAAGAGGTACTTGATGGTTGCAACCATCCTAAAACAAGAGCTTCTTGTGTTTGCACATCTCATGTCTGATTATCACATTGCTGACGTTCCAGTGTACTCCTGCGTAAGAGGGTACTTGCACCATGTGAACAATAAAAACATTATCAGAATATCAAAAGTTTATGTACCCGGTGTAGAGTCAAAGAAAAAAAGATACTGATATGACCTACACTGCTGTGAAAATGTGTCCTCAGTTAACCAGAAAGACATAGGAAATGTTCTTTCAGATATTCCAAGAACAGATTAAAAATGTTAATGCACTTTGAGATAGATGCTTTAGCAAAACAAGATGACTGTTCTCATTCCAAATAATGAGAGATAGGTCAGCACCCTCTGTTATTTCCATCACACTGTAAATATATAGATTAACCCTGCAAATATATCCTATATTTATACATCTGAAGTTTTGTAAAGCTGCAGTTTCACTATTTAACCCAACACCCGATCATCTGGCTATTTGCATCAATTTTAGCATTTGGGCATGATACGAATTGCAGAACTCATCCAACTGAAAGTGAAGCTGCCCCCTTGTTTCCCCTTGCCCCAAGGGAGAAGGGACTTCTCTCAACTGAACACTGCACATTGAAATGGACTGAAACTCCAGCATACGGCACTGAACACCAAGGCACTTGCATCCATTTATCTTGAAATTTGTTTTCGTTCTTTCTTTTCCTATATCACGCATCCTTTTTCTTTTCAAACAGCTCCCTTTATAAAATCAGAATTGGACTTTACATACACACCTCAATTCTTTAGTTATACAGACACAACAGCTACCTTATTTAACCCCATTTAGAAATGTGACGGGGGTACAAACAGTCACTTGTACTAGGTTACATAAAAGATTATAAGACACTTTTAGACCTCCCTGAACTTCTGCCAGCTTTCTGTAATGAGCAACAAAATGACTCAGCTACTCCACCTGCAACACTGCCAGGAAATTCTATTCTAGGCAAGCCAAAGCCCTTTTACCTTTATCAGAGTACTGGTGCTCTAAGGCACGGAGATCAGGCAGCAAGTGCAAACAATTGATGCAGCAGTAAGTAAAGAAATCCAACACCACCACTTTTCCACAAAGGTCTTCATGAAGAGAAATGGGACCTTCAGTGTTCAGCCACTGTAAATCTGAAATTCACAGAACAAAAGTATCCAAATTAGGAGAAAGGGAGAGGGAAAGGATCATCTTTATACGTAACTTCCATGAAAACAGGCAAAATTCTCAGTATAGTTAATTTAAAAAATGTTTAGCATCACTTTCTATCCTCCTAGGAAGGCAAATAAAAAAGAATTAATCAAACTCACCTTTACGCTCTACAAATGTTCATAATTAGCAAATAAAATTTAATAATATCATTATTAAGCTAATAACAGTTAATGTAATATTGAAAATGCAGATTATATATTTAAATAGACACCTTTAAGGAAAGCACATGCAAGCTGTAGAACAGTTTTTATCCATCACAGAGCATGATCAATGTCACTATCTAACCCCAGTCATATGGGTAATGCTTATTTTGTTTAATATTAAACAAATACAAGCTAGTAAGCATATAAAAATGCTAAACTCTTAGAGATTTTTCATTTATGTAGAGAACTTGTCTCAGAGACTACTGAAATATTTCTATATTTATAGTTTTGATCTTTTGAGTTGGAACAGTTAGAAATAACAGGTATAAATTAATGATGTTATTTGTTGATTTCAAAGAATTAAACTTCTTTCAGATATGCCTGGTACTACCTCTGCTCATTTATTTTCAACCACCTGATACAAGACCTTAAGGCAGTGTTTTCTCATTTTATGTACATGCACACACGGAGGTAACTGGTATTTCTCTGATCCCACAAGAAACTGGTATTAAGGTAGCAGTAAAAATCCAGAATATATTTGGCCCTTACTATCAATGAACATTTCTTGAAAGAACAACAAAACAAACAAACAAAAAATGACAGGTTTAATATATCATAGCCCAACTAAATTTCCAGAGGGCTACATTAAAAAAAAAAAAAGTCCAAGTGTGCTTTGGTAACCTAAAAGTATCCCAAAAATTCCATCCTGAGAGTTTCAACTAAATAAGCTTTTACTTCCTGTATACCTAAAACAGTAGACAGTAGGAAGATTGTCTTTATTCTGCTTCACTAAGAGGAGGGCTGTTCACTACTTACATACATAAAAACATAAACGGATGCAAACAAAAAGTCATTGTTTTTGTGATGATAATAAGACCCTGTAAACTCTTGCCTGTACAGTGACAAAATCATTCATTCAACTTGATAAACGTTTCATCATTTTTAAAACATAGGTTATTTATTTTACAGTCTAGGTCCCTACATATCCTTCATCGACATATACTGTAAGTTTAAAATGCTGACTATCTGAGCCGCTTTTTGGAGAAGAATATAATCTCTGAAAGAATACAAAAGGTGAAAGAACATTAATGACAAAAGGGAAAGTTCAGGAAACCAGATCCAGAGAGAAAGAGCATTCACTTCACTTCACTGGTTAGGTCAGAATAAGTCCCATGATATGCATGTGATTTTTGCCCTGAAGGGTGTCACTCTGGGGCTCTCTGTCTTGCGAAGTCCTTTCATGAGCTCTGCTGGTTCCAGCATCTCACTGGGTTACCCACTCTCCAAGCAGGATGTACAAGATCTTATAAGACTTAACATTTGATACACGCAGAGTCTAAAAATAGATATAACAATGCGTGGAAGGGGAATGGGAGCGTTGCTGACCAGACGCAACACTTAAAGCATGGTCTGTATTATCAAAAAAGGGGAATATTGAGGAAAACGGGTAAGTCATGGGGAGAGAGACATGGGAAACACCTTAAGGGGTGGCAGCAAAACCAGGTGAGCTCAGGAGAAAGCTGCCAGATCAGGGAAGGTGACAGCGCTGCCTGGCAGAGATCTACACCCTGCAGAAACATTAAAAAAAAAAGTCCAAGTGTGCTTTGGTAACCTAAAAGTATCCCAAAAATTCCATCCTGAGAGTTTCAACTAAATAAGCTTTTACTTCCTGTATACCTAAAACAGTAGACAGTAGGAAGATTGTCTTTATTCTGCTTCACTAAGAGGAGGGCTGTTCACTACTTACATACATAAAAACATAAACGGATGCACACAAAAAGTCATTGCAGAAACGCTTTATTACAAAGGGTAGAGCAGCAAAGCTAAGGGGAGGAATTTTAGGGAGGGAGGAGGTTTTAAAGAACATGTGTCGACAAGCACCAGCAAAACGCTCCGAGGGGGCTCCCTGCACTTGGCTTTTCCCGCGGGCACTTTCAGGAGTCGCATTTCTCACAACGGGGGCAGATTCTTTCGCAGAAACCGTAAATCAGCCGGCCCGCAAGAAACATCTCACCCCTCGCTCCAGCCCAGCCCCGGCCAGCACCAGCAGCGCCTCGAGGGGGGCGCCGGGGGGCGGGAAACGGGGCTCGCTCCCGGCTCTGCAGGGGTTCCCGGCTGCTGGGGCCTGGGAGGCGGTTGCGGGGGGATGTGCGCGGCGGGATGGGGGGGCACGCGGCCGCCCACGGCGCCGCGCTCGGGTTCGCCGGGCCCCGCCACCCACCTCTGCCGAGCTCGGGCACGGCCAGGTCCGGCTGCCGGCCGTCCGCCTTGCGCAGGTACTGGTAGACCAGCTGCTCCTTCTGCGGGGCCGCCTCGGCGTCCAGCAGCGCGTACTCGAGCTGCGTCTGGGCGGGCAGCAGCGCCGCCAGCGCCGCCATGGCCCGGCCCGGCCTGGCCAGGAGGGAGGCGCTCCGCGCCGCCCTGCCTTTTCGCCGGACCATATTCGACAGCGCGCGCTCCGGCCGCGCCGCCAACCCTGAGGAGCAATTAGAATTAAAAATTCCGCTAAGCACAAAATCGGCCTAAATTGGGTGTTTTAAACCACTGGGGATTGGCTTACATATCTGTGGATTTTTTTTTTTTTACATAGCCCTGGTATTCTCGGTGGCATATTCGTGAAAGGAGGCGCTAGTGCTAATTTCAGATCCGCAGATTCACCACTAGCCTTCCTTTCCCGCCAAGTTACTATTTTATTTTTAAACCTGCAAGCCGAGGGCTAGGGACGCTGCTCAAGAGCGGACCAGGCAGTTAGAGGCAGTTTGCAATTTTTTTTTTTTTTCAGAAGCTACGGGAAGTCGATCGGCGGCCGCAGTGACGAAGCTGCGGCGGCGAATGCGGCGGCGGGCGGGAGCGGCGGCGGCGGCCGGTGGCGGCTCCGTTTCGTGCGGGACGTTGGCGCTGAGCCGCGGGGCCGCCCGGCCTCGCCTCGCGGCGGGGAGCGGGGCGAAATGGCTGCTCGTGGCCCCGGGCGCCGCGTAGCCCGCGCGAAGGCCCCGCGGGACGAACCGGGAGCTGCCGCGGGGGCCGGAGCCGCCGCGCTGCGGCAGGAGCCGCCGCGGTCGCGTCTCGCCCGGGCTTCCCGCTCCACTCGTGGCCCCGTTTCGCTTTTTTAAAATGGAGTTCAAGCGCTTTCCTTCAGCTAGTGGAGACAGCGGAGGAGGGAGGACACTTTAGCGGAGGGAGACGTAGACTTGCGAGCTGCCATCCCCGAGCAAGGAGAGCAGCTCATGTGTTGCCATGTCGGAAGATGCTTTATTGGAGGAGGAGATTTGGGAGTACAAATCCCTTAGGAAACAGAAGTTGGGGCCTCAGGACGGTTCAGAGAGCAGCTCTGCTCCTGTGCAGACAATAAGTAATGGGAAGTGCAGGCCAAAAAGGAAGGGAAATGGAAATAGGAAAAAATCAGTGGAAAAAAATGATGCTATTAAGAAAAGCACCGATACTATTAAGAAAAGCAAGCAGAGATCAAGACCAGATCAGGATCTAGATCAAAGTAAAGATGAACCTGTCGTGCAGTCCCAGGAGAGTGTCAGTAACCTGACGGAGCAAAGCTCACACAGTGCAAAGCCGGTTCATGACGGACACTGCCCAAGCTGTCAGATGCCCTTCTCTTTGCTGGTAGTCCAGACGCCTCGGTGGCACGTTGCTGAGTGCTTGGATACCCCAGGACCCGTGGAAAAAGGTATGAGTAGCTTAAGAATGGCTTAAAAAAAAAAAAAAAGTTAAAAGACGCATGACATAATGTTGCTGGAAACTCATTTTTTTCATATTTAAAAATCTGAGGTGGTCCAAAGTTGTTACTGGCATCTGAATCCTGAATATTCTTTGCACATAAAGTAATTATTTAATGTGTGACTCCGCAGACAACATTGCAGTGGAATTTCAGGGTGAGTCAGAATGCAGATTTGGTTTGTTCTGAAACATGTTTGTTGCCTTTTGCAGTGCCCCTGCTCTGAGCTCCACCCAAGACGGGTCTAAAGTATAACTTGTATAACTGCACACTGGAGCAAGCTAACGCAGCCTGCCCCTTAGACAGGCGTATTCAAGCTCAGTGTTGTGTTTGTAACAGCTGTTCTTTCTTAGGTTGGAAGCAGTCTCACCTGCAGCCAGCTTAAAGGGCTCTTAGCTGACTGCAAGTTGTTTTGTAGGAGTGCCTTACATTGTCTGACAACTGTATAAGCTTTTATTATGAAAAGTTATATATTAATTTTTGTACTTATGCCAAGTGCCTGTCTTTACCAAGGTATTAATGGAGTTCTCTGCTTCACTTCTCATAGAGTGTCCTGATGGTTTGCTCTGCACCTCCACCATTCCATCCCACTACAAGCGCTTTACCCATTTCCTACTCGCCGCAAGCAGGGCAGGAGAGCATCTCGTACACTCCTCAACACGCACCCCAGGGAGGAAGGGCACTTGTTCCACTGCTGCAGAGCCCAGCTGCTTCCCAGCTCTTGTGGAGGCGATTCCACAGAACGAGAAGCCATCCAGGAGCAGCCCAAACGCTGAGCAGACATTGGCGGTGCAGAGTTCAGCACAAATGGAACCTGCAGATATAACCAGTGAAAGTACTTCCTCTTCTGCAAACGTTCAAAGATCTCAACAGACACTTCAGTTCACGCAGACTACAGATGATAACTGCCAGTTTGAATTTTATGACTTTGCATCCTCTCAAGGAGGTGAAATAGGAGATGATCTGGACAGCCAGAGGGATGCAAATCAGCCAAGTCTGCTACAGTCAAAAGTTGATTTCAGCGACTGTGAAATTTCTTATTCTCCACTAAGCACTTGTGAGGAAAGTGAAGAGGAAACTGAGAAAGAAGAGAAGAAAGCAAAAGCATCCCAAAAGAAATTATTTGAATCTCAAAACTCTGAAAATGAAGACTCTAATTCTGTGTTGTTTCAAAATGTTGAGGGGCTTCCTGTACAGCAGACACATCAATACGAACATATTAAAATGGGAAGTAACACAACAGAAAAAAAGCACTCTGAGAAAGTAAATATATCAAGTTATCCTGATCACAATGTAAAAACTGTTTCTCAGCATCACATGAATAGCAAGTTAGCATGTATAGTTAATCAGCAAGAGGTGCTAACCACAACATCCTCTTTTCCTCTTAATTATAATATAATTAGGGAGGAGGGGGAAGAGGCAGAATTGCTTTCACCTGTTGCTAATGCAGGTGATAAAGACTCTAAAGACGGCTGTGCTCCTGCTGTGGCTTCTGCTTATGGGGTTCTTTCAGACATGGTGTTGCTGCAAGTGAGTGAAGATACTAGGTCTCTTCTGCCACTAGAAAGTAATATTTTGAAGGACCCAAGTAATCTTTTGTCTAGTACAGGTAAAATGACTGCTAGCACGCCTGAAAAAGCAGCATCCCAGGAGAGTTTGCAGTCGGGAATGGAGAAAGAAGGAAATCTTCCTAATAAAGCTGCTGTGTGCCATTCCAGCCCAATATCCAAAGCAGTGCAGTCTGTTTCTTTAGCAAGCATGACTGCCAAATCTAGTTCTGCCAAAGAACTCAAGCAAATGGACATTGGTGTTTTCTTTGGGTTAAAACCCAAAGCAAAAGAGGAAAGCAAAAGAGAAGAGGAAAGCAAAAGAGAGACTTTATCAAACGAAGGAATGCAGATATCAAATCCAGTTACTCCCAATGGAAAGATGCCCAGACAGCGCAAAAGGAAAGCTGAAGGATCAGTGGAGGATGTGGAAGCAGTTATAGATAGCTCAAATAAAAATGGAGTCTTTGCAGATGCAAGTTCTGGTGGCCAGCAAAGATGGAGAAAAAGATTTAGGGAATCATCTACTACCGGGGAAGGAACAAGAAAAAAACAGTGCCCTTTCTACAAGAAAATACCAGGTGAGAGACAGTTACTGCTTTTGTAGAGTGTTGGTTGTGGGTTTCTCTATTTGTTTTATTTCTTTGTTTGTTTCCATAATTATAGGCTGTATTCCATATTCTGCATAACCACTTGTCCCTAGAGACTTGAGTTTTCCTTTTGCCACCCAAGTCAATCAGATTTTGTAAAAGTGCAGGTCTCCAGAGGCTGATGACAGAACTGGAATTATCAAAGGCTTTGTCATTAAGGTATAGTGAAATAATGATCTCTGAGAAATTATTTCAGAGGCAGAATTTCAAATATATTTAAGGAAGTAAGAGTATAAGAAGTTTCAAAAGACAGATCTACTTTCTTAAAATATATTGAATATCTGTTATTAACAATCCCTTCTTCTAATTCTCAAGTTTAATCTCTTACATAAATTATGTCAGACTTATTTGCTGGGCATAAGTGAAGCCTAGAATTGAAATTATGCTAAATTGAAAAAATGAGTTTCATTTTGTATTAAAACGTACAGTATTGTGAGTTTCAAATCTAGCTCTTCCAAAACACTTAAGAAATCTTCTGACGTGTATATTTTAATTTCCTTACTGCTCTGTTTTTCTTTTTGGAGTACAAGTACTTCTAATTCTAGTGTCAAGTAACTAGTTCTATTTGGAAGATCTGAATAATTAGTGTAAAATAAAAGAGTGGCAGCAGCTGGATTAATTCTGTGCTCTATTGTGCAAGTAGAGGCAGATGAATATTTGTCAATTTACAATCTTGTTATTTGTAAAATGATCACTTTTCAATATATTTGAATTAAAAGAAATTGCAGAGAAAGGTTTGTCTGCAATGAGCTTATGCAAGGAATGCCGTATTGAAAACAGGCAAATCAATGAATTTTTATCTCAGCAAATGTATTCCAAGACCAGAGATCACTTTAGTTGTAACTACACAGTAACATATTTTAGGAGGAATATTAAACATGTGAAAATACAAAAACTATACTGCAAACACTAAATTGCAAAGTATTTTGTTAAGCTGTAGCTGTCATATTTTGTGTAAAGATGTTGGTATTAAACTTCAATCCACATTAACTTCAAAAATACCAGCTGAATATGCATAGATTTTTTTGTTTTTCCTCCCCAACCAATTGCCATTTATGGAAGGTGGCATTGGAACAACAGATGTTTGAGTGGCCTGTGAAGCTGTTTGTGCATGGATGTTTTGTTAAACATCATTTTAATAAATGAAAAAACTCTTCTGTGAGCATTACCTCAAATACAAACTACGTCACTGATCTTTATATACTTCCTCTAATTGTATACCTTGTAACTGCATTCCCTATTTTAACAGTATTTTCCTTTTTAGGAAAAAAAATATATAAGCAGAATAGGAGAGTTCTGAGCTATGCCTATTTATTGACTGACTTTTCTTTTTTGTAGGTACTGGTTTTACAGTTGATGCTTTCCAGTATGGAGAAATTGAAGGCTGTACAGCCTATTTCCTCACTCATTTCCACTCTGATCACTATTGTGGGCTAACGAAA